CATATGAGCGCCCGAAACGGTTTTTACAATTGTGAATGTGAATGCTTGAATTGCGTAATCAATGGGGCTACGGTGAATGCACATATCCTTTTCAAGTGAGCTGCACGAGAACAGCCAATTAAAATTGCTCACATTGTTATTAAGTATTTCGCAATTCTGCGCTATTTCAGAGCAGTCTATATATTTGCCGAACTCAACTAGCTGTTCCAACAAGGGCTGTTTGCCTTGGTATGTTCAGACGGCAGACTGTTTATTCGCCTCACCATCCAAATCAAAGACGCATTTGTATTATGACGTTATATTCGTAACAAAACACCGAAATTTTTTGAGACAGTTCCAAAATTGTGCTTCACAAATCAACTATAATTACTTTTCAAGCCTTCTATACTGAACTGTCTAAAGTTCTGGTTTTTGAGCGGCAATTCTAGACTATATTGCACTTGAAATGAGCTAGAAACTCCACTTTGGCATATTACACAAACAGGTCTGGCAAGGCGGAAAACTTTAAAAAGCTGGAAGTAACAGCTGCCTTGCAATTCACAGAAACTGGAATGTCACCGTGCACTAGCAAAACTGCAATGCTATTTGCGCAATAGTACAAAATCTCTATGTATTTCTTCTCACTATGAATCAACATCGCACAGACTACTTCTTTTTCATTAAAGTAGAATCTGACATAAAATTCGTAAGAAACTACCAATTCAACCCCGACTTTGACTTTCCCAAAAGAACAAACTAGATATTTGCAGGGTTGTATGTTTAAAACGTGTAAAGAAATTTCGAACAATTGCAACCTTTATCTCATTTTCTTATATACTGCTGCTTTGTTTCAAAGGAAATTTCTGATTATGCCAGAACCCAAACTATCAGGTCTCAATCTCGAATTGAGAATTAACTGACTTCAAAATGAATCAAACTTCGCATCTAACTGCATCGTCTCTATGTCGGGAGAAATAGAAGGGCTAGAAAAAGGTTGGAAACAATAAAGGAAAAGTCAAAATTGGCTTGAAAGACCGTTGAAAAAGGGAGATTCGTTATAACTTATGAGAACGTTAAGGCCGACTAGACTTCGCTCAATTTGAAGCAGTTCCATTTCGATTGCATCATAAAACTGCGAGCTGATGATGTTCCCCACTACAGACGTAAAATCACGGATAAAAATGTTGTCCAAGCCACTGTGTTCACTTTATTCACACTATATGATAATCTACAATAAAATTCGAATAAGATCTTATTTCTGACAAGCCTATTGGCTTCCCACGTAAAAACAAAAATTGGGAGCTTTTACTGCCACGATCAATTCGCTAAGAAAATCGCTGAAGCGCCATTTTTCTAGAAAAAACCGAGTGCGATTGTCCTAGCGTACAAAACCGTCATCATCCAGTCAGCAAGCTGCCCCAAATGCGCTGAGTCAGTTTAGCGCCGATTGCCTGCACTCTCAACCCTATGCACGCTATTTCCCACAACAATGTCGGTCTCCTCCACTTTGTGCACGCTTTCTAGAGGGCGTGGCTTGTG